TTATGCGGGTTGAATTTATACAACTACAAACTGTTTTTTCCGCCATTTTCTGTTTTTTTAAGTTTTGTGCATATAGTCTAAATATCAAAAAATGGCATTCACCTCATTACACAATTACAAAGACTTTTGGTTCCTATACATTGATGATTATGCTGTAGAACTGATTTTTATGTCCAAGAAATGTCATGTGGGGAATAAATTTTATAAAATCAACGATTGCTCACTGATTTTTTTCGGAGGTCAGAAACAACAGAGAAGATAAATTGGATCAAACTCTACGGAAGATTGTGATAAAGTGGATTAAACCCTCGGGGATTAGGCAGTTGTTTTTTCTAAACTTGAATTTAATCTAAAAGATTTGCCGAACACAGAGCTTTTTCAAACAACTGTAAAATGATAAAGACTGCTAGTAATCACAAGAAAACACTCATTGAAAATTCCAACTTCCCCTTTAAGCAAAAAGTGTCGGTCATTTTTTTGAGAAATTCAAAACTTGATAAATTTTCAAAAGTTGAAAAAGAAAATTGGAAACTTTCACTCACATGCTTAATTGCAAAATAAGGTAAATTACAGATAGCAACTTATGAATGGCTCGTAATAAACGTTTTTTTCCCGCTTACATTTGAGATCAAAGACATCAAGACTGTTTCAATGGTTTAAAATTATAATTTCCAAAATGATAAGTTAAAAGTCAAAAATTTTCTGAAAAAAAAATTACTCGAAAGTTGGAACAACTAAAGCTCGCGCGGAGTCTTTTTAGTAACTTTTGTGCATACCAAATTCAATGGACCAATTTTTTAACAATGAGTAGTTGAAAAAATGAGGAATAAATGACTTTTCTCAATTTTTAAGTTCTTCACCATGCATTCATACATGAAGATTTAATTAGCTGTTTCACTGACATTTTTTGAGTTATGACAACGTTTAACTAGTTTTTCGAAATTGAAATTGAAAAGTGGGGTCGGTGGAGTGCAAAAGGGCCACTTTTTGACTTTTGCTTAAACGCTTTTTCTTTTTCTCTTTCATTGCAAAATATTTTTTTATTTTGCAAACACTGCAATATTTCAAATATTGATTGATTAATAGCCTTCACATACTAAAATCTAACTGGAAATTGTTATGAGGGTTGATTTTATACAAATACAAACTGTTTTTTCCGCCATTTTCTGTTTTTTTTAACGTATATAGTCTAAATATCAAAAAATGGCATTCACCTCATTACACAATTACAAAGACTTTTGGTTCCTATACATTGATGATTATGCTGTAGAACTGATTTTTATGTCCAAGAAATGTCATGTGGGGAATAAATTTTATAAAGTCAACGATTGCTCACTGATTTTTTTTGGAGGTCAGAAACAACAGAGAAGATAAATTGGATCAAACTCTACGGAAGATTGTGATAAAGTGGATTAAACCCTCGGGGATTAGGCAGTTTTTTTTTCTAAACTTGATATTAATCTAAAAGATTTGCCGAACACAGAGCTTTTTCAAACAACTGTAAAATGATAAAGACTGCTAGTAATCACAAGAAAACACTCATTGAAAATTCCAACTTCCTCTTTAAGCAAAAAGTGTCGGTCATTTTTTTGAGAAATTCAAAAATTCAGTTTTTTTTTCTAAACTTGAATTTAATCTAAAAGATTTGCCGAACACAGAGCTTTTTCAAACAACTGTAAAATGATAAAGACTGCTAGTAATCACAAGAAAACACTCATTGAAAATTCCAACTTCCTCTTTAAGCAAAAAGTGTCGGTCATTTTTTTGAGAAATTCAAAACTTGATAAATTTTCAAAAGTTGAAAACAAAATTGGAAACTTTCACTCACAAGCTTAATTGCAAAATAAGGTAAATTACAGATAGCAACTTATGAATGGCTCGTAATAAACGTTATTTTCCGGCTTACATTTGAGATCAAAGACATCAAGACTGTTTTAATGGTTTAAAATAATACGTTCAAAAATGGTAAGTTAAAAGTCAAAAATTTTCTGAAAAAAAAATTACTCGAAAGTTGGAACAACTAAAGCTCGCGCGGAGTCTTTTTAGTAACTTTTGTGCATACCAAATTCAATGGACCAATTTTTAACACTGAATAGATGAAAAAATTAGGAATAAATGACTTTTCTCAATTTTTAAGTTCTTTACCATGCATTCATACATGAAGATTTAATTAGCTGTTTCACTGACATTTTTTGAATTATGACAACGTTTAACTAGTTTTTCGAAATTGAAATTGAAAAGTGGGGTCAGTGGAGTGCAAAAAGGGCCAATTTTTGACTTTTGCTTAAACGCCTTTTCTTTTTCTCTTTCATGGCAAAATATTTTTTTATTTTGCAAACACTGCAATATATAAATATTGATTGATTAATAGCCTTCACAAACTAAAATCTATCTGGAAATTGTTATGAGGGTTGATTTTATACAACTACAAACTGTTTTTTTCCGCCATTTTCTGTTTTTTTAACGTTTTGTGCATATAGTTTAAATATCAAAAAAAGGCATTCACCTCAGTACACAATTACAAAGATTTTTGGTTCCTATACATTAAATATTATGCTGTAGAACTGATTTTTATGTCCAAGAAATGTCATGTGGGGAATAAATTTTATAAAGTCAACGATTGCTCACTGATTTTTTTCGGAGGTCAGAAACAACAAAGAAGATAAATTGGATCAAACTCTACGGAAGATTGTGATAAAGTGGATTAAACCCTCGGGGATTAGGCAGTTTTTTTTTCTAAACTTGAATTTAATCTAAAAGATTTGCCGAACACAGAGCTTTTTCAAACAAGTGTAAAATGATAAAGACTGCTAGTAATCACAAGAAAACACTCATTGAAAATTCCAACTTCCTCTTTAAGCAAAAAGTGTCGGTCATTTTTTTGAGAAATTCAAAACTTGATAAATTTTCAAAAGTTGAAAACAAAATTGGAAACTTTCACTCACAAGCTTAATTGCAAAATAAGGTAAATTACAGATAGCAACTTATGAATGGCTCGTAATAAACGTTATTTTCCGGCTTACATTTGAGATCGAAGACATCAAGTCTGTTTTAATGGTTTAAAATAATACGTTCAAAAATGGTAAGTTAAAAGTCAAAAGTTTTCTTGAAAAAAAGTTACTCGAAAGTTGGAACAACTAAAGCTCGCGCGGAGTCTTTTTAGTAATTTTTGTACATACCAAATTCAATGGACCAACTTTTTAACACTGAGTAGTTGAAAAAGTGAGGAATAAAGGACTTTTCTCAATTTTTAGGTTCTTCACCATGCATTAATACATGAAGATTTAATTAGCTGTTTCACTGAAATTTTTTGAATTATGACAACGTTTAACTAGTTTTTCGAAATTGAAACTGAAAAGTGGGGTCGGTGGAGTGCAAAAGGACCACTTTTTGACTTTTGCTTGAACGCTTTTTCTTTTTCTCTTTCATTGCAAAATATTTTTTTATTTTGCAAACACTGCAATATTTCAAATATTGATTGATTAATAGCCTTCACATACTAAAATCTATCTGGAAATTGTTATCCGGGTTGATTTTATACAACTACAAACTGTTTTTTCCGTCATTTTTTTTAAAACGTTTTGTGCATATAGTCTAAGTATCAAAAAATGGCATTCACCTCAGTACACAATTACAAAGACTTTTGGTTCCTATACATTGATGATTATGCTGTAGAACTGATTTTTATGTCCAAGAAATGTCATGTGGGGAATAAAGTTTATAAAATCAACGATTGCGCTTTAAATTTTTTCCGAGGCCAGAAACAGCAGAGAAGCTAAATTGGATCAAACTCTTCGGAAGATTGTGATAAAGTGGATTAAACCCTCGGGGTTTAGGGAGTTTTTTTCTTAACTTGATTTTAATTTAAGAGATTGGCCGAACACAGAGCTTTTCCAAACAGCTGTGAAATGATAAAGACTGCTAGTAATCACAAGAAAACACTCGTTGAAAATTCCAACTTCCCCTTTAAGCCAATATTGTCGGTCATTTTTTTGAGAAATTCAAAAACTGATAAATTTTCAAAAGTTGAAAAAGAAAACTTTTGTATATACCAAATTCAATAGACCAACTTGTCAACACTGAATAGATGGAAAAATGAGGAATAAATGACAATAAAGCATAGGTATCTCAAGATAATAAAGCAGTATCTCAAGTACCCAATACTTGAGATACTTGACAAAAAAACGATAAAACAAACTTTATTTGGCTGATTAAAACCTTGGTAGTTGTTGTTACTGCAATTTGCAGAGAATCTATGGAAGGCTATCAAATTTTTCTAAGGATATTTGTTTCTCTTATTTCCTCACTTGCAATACTGAGTAATTTGGTTGAGCGAGGATCTTTTTTTTTGCGACGTGAAGTCAATAATCTGCTTCTATAAATTTCACGCGGTTCCCATTTTGCAGCCAATACGGTCGGGCTCTTGTAGACCTGAAGCTACACGTCAAGTGATAGCTCGGCATAACACACCATCTGTGTCATGTTGGAGGATCGATTACACAATCTGACCTTCTCAAAGTGAATACCTTCAAATTTTGCTGGAGTAGGAGTAGGTTTCAATGTTATCCATTTATTCTAGAAAAAAAATTTTGAACTACAAATGAATCATCTACTAAAACCGATACCAACTAAATAATATCCACTTCTAAATAAAAATTAATCAAAAAGAGTAATAAGCACTAGGGCTTTTTAGTGAGAAATCTAACATTGCTGCTTTTTGATTGGTCGAAAATTAGGCTAACTCATTCTTTTCAACATTCTCCCCCTTTTCTTGAAAGGAGGGGAGAGATGACTGAGCAGCTCCCTGTTTTTCATCAAAAAGAATTTTACGTCCTATGTAATTGAACAGTCGCTTCATTCACCAGCACTTATACCTTACACACGTGCCCTTCCGAAATAAAGAGTTTAAGTGTTTCTTTAAAATGTTTCAAACTGCCAAATTAGCTGGGTCGTCTATGCTTGTGCGAAAAAGACACTTTTTTAAAACTTGAAGTTCCGTTTAGTAAATACAAATTACTGAAAATATACAGAGCTACTCATTTTAAATCAGATACAATTGAAGACAATTTAAGTTATTATATTAATTAATAGCCCCTTTAGCAAAAATATAATTTTTAAAATAGTCAATAATAATTGTAAATATTATAAAAAGAACTCCTCCTGAAAAGGCGACATTTAAAATGCCTTTAAGTAAACTAGAATTTGAACAATTCATATTTCAAGTTTAAATCAAGATTTCATATTCTGCTATTCAGTTTCTGTTTTGAAATGGTCATTAAAAGATGATAGAGTAATTATCAGCAGGTTTATGTGCGTAAATTGTGCAAAAAATGCTCAAACTTCCACGTGATCCTCTTCTGAAAATTTATCCATGATTTTTTGTCCCCTTTCTTCATGCAAGTTCGGCTCCTTTTCCTTCTTAGTTTTAACTCCGTTCGTGGAAACGCCGACATCTTTCTCGTCGTCTTTATTTTTTTCGTCAACTGAGCTCTCATTTTTACTATTATCTCCTTTCCCATTTTGTTCCAGCAAGTATGTTCCGGAGACTTTGGTCAAAACAGCTCCCAAAGGTGCGGTCAGAATCACCGAAACAACAGCCACTGCCAGAATCTTTCGCGCCCACTCTTCGAACAATTCACCTTTGTCTTCGACTGGAAGAGTTCTTACGTAATCAAGAGGCACACTTCCAATAGCTGCTTGCACTGTTGCTTTAGGAATACTTGAAATTGAGACAAAAAGCTTCTCTTTCCAATTCAGTCCAACTCCAATACAACATACGTATGCTGCAGCCAAACGAGCCAGAACGCCCAATGTTACAATTACCAGAGCTAATCCGATCACGCTGAAGTCAAGGTCACTGATTTTCAATTCCGACCCGATGAGGCCAAAGAGGAGGGGAGCAAGGTACCTCCAGCTGATGGCAAATGCCTTCTCGACATCCTCGACATCGTGGTTGCAAGAGGTATCCAGAGTTGAACTGATTTCATGCTCAGGTGATACCTAAATTTTTCTTTAATTATTACCCAAAAGTTTAAAATATTTGCGATATAAACTCGCGGCCTAATTTTTTGAAATACATGCATTTCAACGTTACCCCCTAACTACCTGTTCCTGTTCTCATTTTTCCGTTTTTTTTTATCTCTTTGTCCCTCTGGGCCCGAAAAAAAAAGACCTACGAGATGGAGCAACTTTGGCAAAAAGTATGTTAAACTTTGAAATCACTCAAACCTCAACCATTTTTACAGTCTTTTTCTTGACTCAAGTTTTCCTGATATCAGTGTTATTTTTTTTAATCTGTTTTTCTAACAGAATACATGTTTATAATTTTTGAACTTCAAACTCTTATTTTACTAATTTACTGATTTTTCTATTATTGTTCTAATTTTTGTAGTAGAAGCCACGAATCCACTGACTGTTTCGTTGTGGTCTGTGTCTGTGACAGGTAGTGGAGTGTGTTTGGCTGTGGTGAGAGTGGATGAAGATGTGGTGGCGTTTGGATTAGTCATCTGGTTCCACTTCCTGGAGGCCACGAAGCCCACAGTGATGACAAACAATGCCCCTGCCCCGTGAGCATCTAAGTGCTCTGCTCCGAAGAAGGCCGTGATGCTGGCCAAAAACAGGAGGCTGTACCTAATAAACAGCCACAGCTAACAAATATCGTCACTGATAGGTTTTCAATTGAACTTATTTTAAATTGAGCAATATCGACGTTACAAACAGTATAAGTGAACTCTTTTTGATACATTTGAAAAAGTATAACTTTTTTTCGATATTTTTTTTTTTAAATGAACCGTGCTGGTTCAACAAGCCCTGCTTTCTAGCAAAACTTAGCTTTTGGAGTTCTTACCTGAGATATACTTTGTGTGCGTCTCCAGCTGAGGGCAAGAACCAGAATAGAACCCCCAAAATGGCACCTGGGGTTGCTCCGGCTATGAACTCAATGGGTGCTTTACTTATGACCCAGGCCACACTTCCAGAAGCGAAAGTTATCGTCATGGCCACGGAGAAGCAACAAATTGCTACTATGTCGTCAACTGAAGACGAAGCGATGACCAATGTCGGGATCCCTTTTTCGGTTCCATATCCTTTAGCTTGCAGTTTCAAAATACATGCAACTACAATAGCAGGACTAACGGCAGCCATTATGAACCCAATCATGAACGCCCAGCCCCAGGGAAGTCCGAGGAGTAAGTGACACGTCACCGCTACAACTGGTGACTCAGCGCAGACTCCCGGGACAAAAGACAGCAGGAGACATACGCGTTTCATCTTCAAAAGTGATGCTGTATCGAGTTCGAGTCCCGCTCGCACCAAAAGTGCTATGAACGCGATGCTTCTGAGACTGGACGACACGTGATGTTGCACGTGATATTGAAACAGTGGCACATTGCTGACAAATATTCCGGCACAGATCATTCCGACGAGTGATGGTAGAAACAAAAGCTGTTTCGTAAGAACTCCGAATATTTCCGAGAACATGTAAAGAAGGAATACGGAGAACAGCGTGCCTCCGGGTTGCACAACCTCTTGGTGATCCGCGGGTAACAAGAAGAAGGCCGAAGCTGCGAGAAAGATGTAGAGGAGTATCTTCGTCAAGAGTCGCGCCAGAGCACCCGTTGGCGGAATCAGCTGATGACGTTCTCGGTAATAGTCCCGAAACAGCGCCATTTTGTTACCCTGTTTCCCTGGAATTAGATGATTAGGTAGTTTGTTCGTTAATTTATACTACACCAAGTTGAGAGCTTTGCAGAGGATTCAGTGTTTCTTCGAATTATCTGTTAGTAATTTAGATATGATCTGATTCTGCTGCGGAGCCGAGGACTTTTCTTTGCTCAAATTATCAAAGTCAACTCAAGTTTCTTCTAGAAGACGCAAAATTTCTGTCAATCTTTTTAACCCTGTCAATCGTATGCCAACAGCTTAAACTTTCGAGTTAGTTGGAGTTAATTATTCGCTATTCAAATTGCCACGCCACGAGTCAAGGACCTTCTTAAGTAAACTTGGTCCAATGTGAAAGGTCGCTGTTTGATGGGTCTTTCGAAATCGATAGGATATCCAAGGATTAGTTGATTGACCACTTTCAATTGTTTTATTAATTTGAACCCTGGCTTAGAGGAGTTTCGAAATTCCAAAGGTAAGAAAAGCAAAGATGAAACTTGATTGAAGTTTGCCAACTTCTCGCTTTAGCCTCTCGAGTCAAGAAAGCTCTTCAAATAACGTTTGTTGTAACAGTTCAAAATAAAAACGACATGCTAGTTTCCGATCAAATACAATCAAGGGCGGAAATTTTTCGATAAAACTTTGGGGTGGTTGTAGTTTATTAAATAAACTTTCCTATTAACTCAATATTCAATACAATTTTTTCAAAAGACGAGTTACTTAAAATGATGTTCAACTATGTTTAGCTTAGTGAAAGTATAGAGTGATGATGGTAACAGTTGGTAACTTTAACTTGGGTTTCGCTAGATAAACTTGTAGAGATGTTCAAAGATGGTTTTGAAGAGCTAAGTTGACGTACGATTTCTCGCGGAAATGAAAAGCCAGATGGTTTCACGCAATATTCATTTTGAAAGGCAGAATCAATTTCCGTGGCTGAACAAAAATAACACACCGCGCAGCTTAAACTCGAGAGCACTTAAACGCCAACGCGGAACTATATCTTTGACTCCTTTAATTATGCATAAACCTGTTTTTTTTTCGTGAATTTTTTTTCTGCTTTATCACAACAAGTAAACAAAAAGGGCTAAATGCAAATTTGAAACTTTCTATAAATTATTCAAGCTTTCTAGGAGTTACAGTCACAACTACAAAAGAAAACCGGCGGAGAAAAAAATGCACTTAGTATAATTTTAAAGCAAAAAGGCTTCAAAATTGAAGCAAACAAAGTCAAGTTTAATCAATACAATCTATCTAAACAAAAATAGTACAGGTAATACAAGTGAAGATACACTTGTTTTGTAGATTTGGATGCTGGCAGCTTGACTTATTAGACGTACCATCGATAATGTTACATTGTACCAGTTGAAATGATTTCACAGCCAACGTCTTGGCTTTCGGGCTAAGCAAACTGATTAATCTTTTAAGAGCCTCTTCCAAGGATTTCAAAATCCTCGGAGCAAATATTTGTGCAAGGCGATATCGAGGGTATTAACATCGGAAGATAATGAAAAATAACAGAATGAAATTATCGAAGTGGAATTCTTCAAGTATTTCTGCCGTTACTTTCTTCAGTTATTTGATCAGGGCCGGAAACTCCGTTAGAATTGATAAGCTGACCACAATTAGGGTTTACTTTTTGTCGCGGTGAGTTTTCTTCTGATGTAATAAAGCAGCAAACTTCAGGGGTTTTTTGTCTCTAGGCGTCTGAAATAATAAAAAAACGCAAGATATAAAACTTGAAAACAGGTTATAAATGAAAATTGGTATATCTGATATAGCTGATATATCTAAAGAATGCGAAAATGGGTGACTGAAATAAAAGAAAGTGGGCTTTATGACCATATGGAAATTAAAATTAAGTAGTTACCCAGTATTCTAAGTTGTTATGTGCCATTATATTCTTAATTCCTTTTGTAAAGAAAAAGAAAAAGGAAACAATGAAATAGAATTCTGCTTACAATTCAATAATCAGTTTTTAAATTTGTTTTAACGCGGCGTTAATTCATGATTCATTTTTTATCATGCAGTCTAAAAATCGATAAGTATAAAAATAGACCAAGTAGGTAGCTATTTCAGTTACTTTAATTATCCCAAATATGAATGTTATGCGGAAATGGTATTTCAAAAATGAGCTGGAAACTGCATCATTTTAATGATAGAAAATGCAAGAAATCAATGTGAATCTTTTTTGAATTAATTAGAAAATATTCAATTCTATAAAGCGAGTCCTGCAAAGAAGCTCCATTGCATCATCAATCAAATGAAGATAGTGAATGTCTTAAATGAAATTGATATTTATTTCAGTACCAGTCATAGATATGAATTAGAGGATTCCAAGAGCGTGTAACAAGGTTTCCTACATGTAAAAAACTGACATATAGTAAGAAATTTCCAAAGCTCAATTTCGAAGCTAATCAAGAACATGCGAGGCTTTGGAACTAAAAAAGAATGTTTTGACCAAGGTAGCATTTGCAAGAAAAAACGAAAAAAAATGTAAATTTTTTTACATCGAATGTTTGATTTTTTGTTGTCTTTTTGTTTGAAAGAAAAGAAGGCAATCTATAGCTTGAGGAAAAATTTTTTATTTTAGTATATAAAATCACAGAGAAATTTAACTCTCTCTACTCTGAAAGATAGCTTTTAAAGCAAAAAAATATATATTGCTAAACAAGAAAAGCCGAATGCTGTGCAAGTAGCACAAAATATTGCGCCTACACTGATTGATGAAAAAAAAAATTTAGATATTTAGAAATTGAAAAATTTTTCAATTTTTTCTCCAAAGTTTCCAATTATTTTTTAATCTATAAAGCGCTATTGAAACATGTGAAGAAATGCGCAAAAGACTAACTAATAGCTAATGCAGCTTTAAAGTTCTATTGAACTGAATTTGGAGGTCAGCCTTAAGTTCCTGTCTCGTTTCTAATGTAATTTATTCTGAAAAATGAAAAAATGCAGACCAATTTTTCACGTCACTGATACAACTATTTAAAAATCCAATTTCAAAGGATTCCTCCTTCTCTTTCCCTACGCCACAGTTTAGTTTCGTTCCCTCTCTTTGTGAATGGTGAAATCAAAATGATGTCATTTGTTCGTTTGAAAGGCATAAAAGTTCAAATTTTTAATTTATTTAGAATATTAATACTAATTTTTGAAGTTTACATTAAATTTTTTTGCTTCCCTCTTTTCCCAAATCAGAAAAAGAAGATTTAGGAAAAAAAGTTTTTGAAAAAAAGGAAATTGATTCAAAATTATAATTTTTGAGTTTTTTTTCTAAGAAACTTCACCAGAGACTGAATTTATGGAGCGAATTGCCAAGAAACTGATTCTTCATGAAATTTGTTTCACAAAATTTATTGATAAATTTAGTTCGTCTCTAAATATTTAGTTGGTCTCTTGATATGTATAATTCAGCAAAGAAGTAGCTCAAAACCATTAATTAAAAACACCAACTCGTCCCAATTTAGACGAATTGTTTTCATAGTTTTTTTTCTAAAGTTTCAGCTTTCTTCAATTACGTAGTATCATTTCTGATATTTCCAAGTAAGATTCGAACTAGTTTTTGATCTGAGAATGCGGACTTATTTTTGTGCCAACCGCAAAAAGTAATATTGAGCCTGAACAAATTTTAAGATGAAAACAACGTTCATCGGCTCCTAATTTCCAGTAGCTTTCAGTCTACTAATATAAATTCGAGAATAACAAGAGCTAAATCATTTAACGAGTTTTTGTGTTTCAGCTCGCTTAAATGTGGATAAACTCTTATAACATTTCCTTTACGGTCTCAGCCTCATTTAAATAGGATACTAGGGAAAGCTTATATATTTTTTGTTCAAAATGATTTTGATTGATCGGATTAGAGCAACTAGGTTTTAGTAACTGACACGACTGCAACTTAATTTGCATCTTGGAAAACGATCGTATCAATTTTTTTCAGAAAAAAACGCATGTTTTGTAGAATTTTAAAAAATCCCAATTTATGCGTTACATAAGTAAAATGGAACTTGAAGTTTTTGTCGACCTTTTTTTTAGTTCGACCAAATTGAGTTTCTGAGAAGACTCTATTTGGACAAAAATGTTTGCGCCGCAAGCAAATTTTTGAAAGAACAGGTCAAAAAAGCCGTTTTTGGGAACTTTTTGGAAAAGTTTTGACAAAAAAAAAACGTTTTTTTTGGCGCGCGCTTCTCCTTAAAATACTATATGTTGGTGTCGAAAACGCCTTTTGAAAAGTTTTAGGGATTTTTTAAAAAGTACCAAAGGGGGACCCTCGGCAGGGGGTCGATTCCCTGAAGAAAGGAGGCGTCCCCCCCCCCCCCCCCCACCCTAAATCCGCCCCTGGTTTGGACCTAAAACTATGAAAGTAATTTTGTTCGCTGTCTAGCATACTGATCGCATATAACTTGCGACACAAGCTAATCTCATCTCAAATTAAAAAATAAATATGAGAAAAATTTAGATCTCCATTTGTTTCAGAAAGCTGGCGAAAACTTCGAGACCTTAAATTTTTTGTCTTGTCGATCATCTGGAGTTTATTTTCATGTTGCACGATTAAGTTTGCAACTGTGCGCAATTTTAACTGCATTTTGCAACTTTGCTTTTTAAGTTTTACAAATCATGTTGCTACGTTGCTGGAGTTCCATTGCAACTTAATGCAACTTCAATTTAGGTTGACTTTGTAATTCAACTTGGTGCGACTCTTGAGACCTCGTCCGACCTCGTTTTTTTGTAGTGATGTTTATACTCCAGGCATTATATGCACACTTCTCTATACTAAATATAAGATTTCTCGACTTAAACTTAAAAGATTGCACGTTTGATTTCAAAACGCTCAGAACTTACTCAAATTATCAAATTTACAAAAAAAAAAGAAAACAAAAAAAGAGCAAAAAGATAAACAGATAAAGAGGGCAAAACAACCGAAAAAATTAGTTGAAAATACCTTGAAGGGGCAGATAAAGGAAAATAAGTGGAAAAATGTCTTATAGATCAGTTTTTTCAATATTGCAGACTACGTTCCCCTTCAAAGGACAGTTAATCGAATACAAGCTCCCCAGGAATCAAATAACTTTTACTTGTTTGAGGCATAAATTGGAATAGTGGCATACAAGCAAGCAAGCAGAGGCGTCAGGGTGGAAAAATAAGTAAATGGACTCTGAAATGGTCTAAGAGACATTTGGAATGGTCTTTTGTTCACGACACAATAGAGAAAATGGGGGAAAAAAGTGCTACTAATGCCACGATCCTGAGCACAAAAGCAGGCTTCAAACTAATTGGACTATCCATCGTTTTTGTAGGGGTTCTCCGTCAACTCTAAAGTCTAACGATAGCAGGAAATATTTTAAAACTCGACCTTAAGTGCCCATTTTAGGGGAATGCATAGGAAGTCATTAAAAATCGATATCATGGTTTCAAATATCAGTACTCGCACTTCATACATTCCACGTACGACCAGATTTAGGGATAAATCTTGGTAATTTATTGGTGATTTGATAGCAATTTATCCTTAACGGGTCCATAAACAAAGAACTTGAATAAATCATTTTGTCTCGTGGATGCAATTTGTTCAACACGAGAAAAATTGAGGGAATAAAAAATTGTTTCCAGAATGAAAAAATGACAAAATACTACACGAAATAAGCTGAAGTATTTTGAATCTTTTTGAGTGAATAATAGAAAGAAAAAAACTCGAATAGAGTGAATTTTTTGAATAAAACGTTCAACAGAATTTACTTTTAAGATTACAAAGCCATAATTCTATTTTCGATTATTTAAAAAGCCAGAAAAAAATAGTGACTTCATGTAATAAAACACGCGAATAATTTCCAGCGTGAGAAATAAAAATACGGAGAAAAGTTAGGATAAGACTATAAAAAAAAATATCACAACTCATTACAATATATACACAGAGCTATTTGAATTTCATCGCTCTGCCAAAAATGGCCTATAAAAAGAAGCCATGCCAGTATTTTCAGAAGCCACTGAAAATGTTGGTCTCAACTGGTTAAAAAATAGCCCAAATAGTCACGTGGGCTGCCTGAGATCACTGCAAAACTTGCTTCCAAGAGACGACAATAAATAATTATCAATTCAAAGTTAAAAAAACTGCTCTTGAACGAAGCCCAGGAGGTTCCAATTGCCCTTTGAAGTCCCTGTAGTAGTTTTTGCAACATTTTAAAAAAAATTAAATAAAGATATATTTTTTCAAAAACTTGCGGCTCTTTTGTATTATAGCTCTCCCATTAAATTGTAGTCCACTCCACTGAACAAAAATTTCTTTCAACTACACATTAGTAAAATAACTTCGCTTCGCACAGACTCTAATGGTGGACGGACTCTAAAGAAAAAGTGCAATATAAGGTACAAATTGACATACTTGTGAGCCAATAACACCTTATTCGGATCCTTAAAATCAATTTGGTATTACAAAGTAAGTGTCACTTTAGAAAAATTGATAAAGATTTTAAGAAATGAGAAAACTTCAAAAACGTTAATTAGATTTTTTTTGAAAACCATTCCCCACCCCACACGCTATGTAAAGAATAAAATGATATATTTCGCATCAAATCAATTTGGATTGATTTCTAAGACGTATAAAATCTCCACCTAAGGGTTAATAGCACGAAAATTATGCAAGCCCTGAATTTTCCGACTGCTTTTTCAAGCATATTGTGCAGTGTTTGCTCTAAAAATATTGATAAATTTTTCGA